GCCCGGGGCCGGGTGCAGGTGGCTGGCGCGGCCGCGGGCGGGAGGGGTGCGCGGGGTCAGGGACCGACTGGGCGGTGCGGGGGCCGGCTCGTGCGTGAGCGGGACAGACAGCGGCCGCCAGCCAAGCTCGTCCCCGCAGGCTGCGCCTTCGGCGGGAAGGTCTACGCCGTGGGCGAGACGTGGCACCCGGACCTGGGGGAGCCCTTCGGGGTGATGCGCTGCGTGCTGTGCGCCTGTGAAGCGGTGAGTGGACCCGCGGCCACGCCCGGGGCCCTTGCGGGCAGGACTCCAGAGGAGAGGCGGCCGCCGGTGTTTGGGATGCTTTGCGGGTGCAGGAAGAGAGATTCTCCTTCGAGTCTCAGGTGTTGTGTTACTGATCGCACGGTGTCAGGCTCCGCGCCAACCGCCTGTAGCTTGTCCCGCTTAACTCCCACCACAGCCCTGCTAGGCAGACGCCGCTGTTTCCCCCGCACCGGGACCCTGAGGCCCAGGGAGGTTAGGCGATTTGTCTAGGGTCGCAGGCAGCCGCTTTGACTCTGCTGCACGACCCTACTGTGGTTCTTTCCTTGGTCTGCCCATTTGACATCGTGCACTCACTTGATGTTTCCGTGTCCTCTGCGATCAGCCCCAGTGGGTTCGTCGCGGGAGGGGCCCTGGCAGGGTCAGCTGCAAAAACATCAAGCCCGAGTGTCCAGCCTTGGTCTGCGGGCAGCCCCGCCAACTGCCAGGACACTGCTGCCAGACCTGCCCTCAGGGTAAGGACGGCTCCCGGGCCGGGCCGCCTGGACTAGGGCTGATTGCGGAAGCCCGAGCGTCGCTTCCCCCTGGCACAGAGCGCAGCGACGTGGAGCAGCCGCCGCCAAGCCTGACCTTCGAGTATCCCCGGGACCCGGAGCACCGCAGTTACAGCGATCACAGCGAGCCAGGGGCCGAAGAGCGCGCGCGCACCGAGGGTCACTCGGGTGGGTAGGCGGGGGCCCAAGGGTGGGGTCTTGGCCGGGGCCGGCCACCGGCGGTGGCTGACAGTGCCCAGGCCATCTTCCTCCCCTCACAGACTTCTTGGCGCTGCTGACGGGGCCGAGGTCGCAGGCTGTGGCACGTGCCAGGGTCTCACTGCAGCGCTCCAGCCTCCGCTTCTCCATCTCTTACCGGCAGTGAGAAAAGGGAAGGAAGGGGGGGATGGGGAAGGAGAACCTGGGGAGGCCAGGCTTAGCCTCACTGGACCTCTCTCTGCCAGACTGGACCGCCCCAGCCGGGTCCGATTCTCAGACGCCACGGGCCGCATCCTGTTTGAACACCCTGCAGCTCCCACCCAAGATGGCCTGGTGAGATGATGCCATTTACGAGTGCTTATTCAATCATGAGAGCACAGTAGGAGGAAGGCATTGACACTATGGGGCCCATTTTACAGATGAGGGAACTGAGGTAGCAGAATGTGATTTGTCCCAGGCCACACACTTAATGAGTGGTGCAGCCAGGATTTGAGCACAGCACCTGGCTCCCAGGGTCTGTGTTAAGCCTCCTAGGAGGGCCTGGGGCTCCTTTCCTATCCTTCCTTACCAGGTCTGGGTTGCTTACCCTGCCCATCCTGTGTACTGTCTGAGTGTGGGCCTTGTCTTTCCCATCCAGGTCTGTGGGGTGTGGCGGGCAGTACCTCGGTTGTCTCTGCGGCTCCTCAGGGCAGAACAGGTGCATGTGGCACTCGTGACACCCACTCACCCCTTGGGGGAGGTCTGGGGACCTCTTATCCGGCACCGGGCCCTGGCTGCAGGTAAGGAAAGCACTCAGCTCTTGCATATAAACCTGCCACTTTTCTGTCCAGGGACCTGGGTAGGCTGAGGAGGGGATTTTCTGGTGGGCTGTCATTGCCTCTCCTCCCCCAGAGACCTTCAGTGCCACCCTGACTCTGGAAGGCCCCCAGCAGCAGGGTGCAGGGGGCATTGCGGTGCTCACTCTTAGCGACACAGAAGACTCCTTGCATTTTCTGCTGCTCTTCCGGGGGCTGCTGGAACCTGTGAATGCAGGTAGGTAGAGGAAGGAAATGCTGGAGAAGGTGGGGAGGGCACGGCCTTTCAGGAATGTCCACACGCGGGACTGTTGCAGGACCAGCCAAGGTTCCTGTGAGGCTCCAGATTCTACATGAGGGGCAGCTGCTGCGAGAACTCCAGGCCAACACCTCAGCCCAGGTGAGGGAGGCTCTGGCCAGTGTTGTCATCCACTCTGCCTTCTCACTGTTGCCCACGGCACCCTGCCTTTGTTTCTAGGATCCAGGCTTCGCTGAGGTGCTGCCCAGCCTGACAGCCCAGGAGATGGACTGGCTGGTGCTGGGGGAGCTGCAGATGGCACTGGAGAGGGCGGATGGACCAGAGCTGCGCATCAGTGGGCACATTGCTGCCAGGCAGAGCTGTGATGGTGAGGCAGCCGGGGGCCTGGCACCTTGGGTGCACATGACCAGGAGGCATGGATGAGGCCTGGGAGGCTTGGGGCATGCGTGGGCATGGATCCAGCCTGCTGCCACCTGTCTTGGCCCTCCGCAGTCCTACAGAGTGTCCTTTGTGGGGCCGATGCCCTGGTACCTGTGCACACGGGTGCTGCCGGCTCCGCCAGCCTCACACTGCTAGGAAATGGCTCCCTGGTCTACCAGGTACAGAGACAGGTGCCACTGCAGGAGGTGGGAGTGTAGCAGGCAGGGCTCTGGGGCTTTGCTGCCTTTCCAGTTCACCCTCCCCTTCCCTGGCCACCAGGTCCAAGTGGTGGGGACAGGCAGTGAGGTGGTGGCCATGACACTGGAGACCAAGCCTCAGCGGAGGAATCAGCGCACTGTCCTATGCCACCTGGCTGCACTCCAGCCTGGAGGACACATGGTGAGGACGCCAGGTGGCACTGACCACAGGGCCTGTGCTCTGATGCTGAAGCGCGTGTAGCAGGAAGCCAGGCGGGAGAGCAGGGCTGTGCAGTGTCGTTCATTTCATCCAGGACTACCTCACTGACTCACATGGCACATTTTAGTGAGCCTCAGACTGAGGACTGGGGTACAGAGACAGTCAAGTGTGGCCCCCTGTCTTCAACAAACTACAGTTACTTTATTTTATTTTTTTTTAAATTTATTTTTTATTTATTTATGTGTGTGTGTGTGGCCAGCTCAGCCAGCCCACCAGGGGATCGAACCGCGGTCGCTGTGCTTTGCTAAGCTTGTTCTAAGTAGGTGCTTTAGACCACTGAGCCATCTCACCAGCCCCCAGTTACTTTATTTGTAATAGTGTTATTTTTCTTTTTTCTTTCTTTCTTTTTCTTTTTTTTGCAAAACTGGGGATTGAACTCAGGCCCTTGTGCTTGCCAGGCAAGCACTTATTCCACTGAGCCATCTCCCTAGCAGTTAATTTGAGACAGTCTCACTATATTGTTCAGGCTGGCCTTGAACTCACTCTGGTCCTCCTGATTCAGCCTCCTGAGTGCCAGGTATAGGCAGTACCACTGTGTACACCTCAGCAAGCTACGATAAACAGGAGGAGTTAGGAGGAATGGTTCAGTAGACCATGTAATAACCAATATGGTGGCAGTGGCTGCCACTTTCAGGGAGGGTTGGGAAAGTAGCTCAGTGTAGAGTGCTGGCCTATGTGTGAGGCCCCTGTGTTCAATCCCTAGTTCAGGCTCCCTGGGATGGGGAGAGGAGGTACTGCATTGTTTCTTGTTTTTATATTTTTGCCTTTTTAAAAAATTTTCTGTTTTTTAGGGAAGGGCCTACAGTATTTAGGGTCTCACTACTTGATTGGACTCTAGTGATTTTCCTGTTTACAGCCTCCTAAGAGCTGGGATTCAGGCATGCGCCACCATGCCCAGTCTCAATCGCCGTTTCAGCATGCTCCCAGGGTGGGGCTGGCAGGGCAGGCCTGGGTTTCGAATCTCGGGCCCCTGTGCCTGCTTGCAGGTGCTTTAATCCTCTGAGCTATTTGGTCGGCCCTATTTTTGCCTTTTATGCTATCCATTTTATAGATAAGGAAGTAAAGCCCCGAAGAGCTTAAATGACTCTTCAAGGTTGTTACACAGCTAGGAATGGGCAGAGGGAAGATTTGATCTAGAAGGTTCTTTACTGGTGTTACTGTAGGGGCAGGTGTGCCTGAGTGCAGTGGGGACACAGAATGTGGAAAGGCCTCTGAATTGGGGCTGTGTGAGAGCAGAGGGATTCTTTCTTCTGACCCCCAGGTTGTGGGTACCTGCTCTGGCCTGGGCGCCCGAGGGGCTCATATGCTGCTGCAGAATGAGCTGTTCCTGAATGTGGGCACCAAAGACTTCCTGGATGGAGAGTTGCGGGGGCATGTGGCTACCCTGCCCTACAGTGGGCACAGTGCCCGCCACGACAGTGAGTGCCCTAGGCTCTGCCTGCCCTCCTGTGTCCCCTGCCCCACGACTCACACATGTGAGAGATGCTGCCAGTGGGCCAGAGTCTGGTGTGTCTTCCCCTGCATGAGCTTCGGGTTGGCATCTGGAGAAGGGGGCACATGAAGGGTGGTCCTGCCGGCTGGGCCCACCTGTTGCCACCGTGCATGAGCCTAACACTTGCCGTTCCCCAGGCTCTGGTCCTATGGACAGTGCCTTTGCATTCACAGAGTCTGTGTTGGGGGAGATGGAGAATGCTGAGATTAAGGGGCTCTAGGCTGACTTCTCATCTATCACCTCTCCTCTGTCTGGACCCAGCATTGCCTGTGCCCCTGGCAGGAGCCCTGGTGCTGCCCCCTGTGCAGAGCCAGGCAGCAGGGCATGCCTGGCTCTCCCTGGATACTCACTGCCACCTGCACTATGAGGTGCTGCTGGCTGGGCTTGGTGGCTCAGAACAGGGCACTGTCACAGCCCACCTCCTAGGGCCTCCTGGGATACCAGGGCCCCGGCGGCTGCTGAAGGGATTCTACGGCCCAGAGGTGCGAATCTGATGGTGGGAGGCAGTGTGGAGGGCTGCACGGGGCTGCGGCGGGGAGGCAGAGAGCCAGCAGCCCAGTATTACAGATGGGGGATGGGCTGAGTGGGATCTGACCTGGCCTCTTATTGTATATTCACCATCTGCGTCCTCTTGGAGTCAGTGGGCTAGTGCGTCATATCCTAGGCCACTGGAGGGGGGAATGGACCAAGTCTGTGGACTCGGAGTCACAGAGACCTGGCTTCCAAGCCTCACCCCACTGCCCATGGCTTTGCTGCCCTAAAGACTTAAATCTCCCTGGTTCTCAGTTTCTCCACCTGCGAACTCGGGAAAGCAGGTTCCGCCCTGAAGTGCCTTGTTCCTGTCCCTCATCCTGCACAGGCCCAGGGTGTGGTGAAGGACCTGGAGCCTGAGCTCCTGCGACACCTGGCGCAGGGCACTGCCTCCTTGCTGATCACCACCAAAGGGAGCCCCAGAGGGGAGCTCCGTGGACAGGTCAGTGAGCATTGTGGCCGTGGCCAGGCGCAGGGTCCGGCTGGCCCATGTGTCTTTGCTCTTGTCACTTGTTCCCTCTGGGCCCTGGGTGTGGTGGTCTCCTTTGGCTAGTAAGAAGGATGAAGCCACACAACATGCCGCCGGGGAGAAGGCTCAGTTGAATAAGCACTTCCCTGGAGGGGCCTGAGTTCAATGCCTGGTTCTGCTAAAAAAAAATACAAAGTGCCTGAGAAGGCTGGGTCCCCTGGCACCACAGCACAAGGGGATGGAGGTGTCTTCTGTCTTCTGTCCATGACTAGCCTTGGCCGGGGGGCACCTGGAGCGCTGCTTGTCTCAGTGGGCCTCTCTTCCCAGGTGCACATCAGCAACCAGTGTGAAGTGGGGGCCCAGCGCCTCACTGTGGCTGACACAGAGGGAATGCGGAACCCTGGGGCTTTGGATGTGGCTGCCAGACCAGGGGTACCTGCTGCCCCTGTGCCCGAGGCCTCTGTGCCTGCCAAACCTGGAGGCTCTGGGCGGCTCCGAGACCCCAACACATGCTTCTTCGAGGGGCAGCAGCGCCCCCATGGGGCTCGCTGGGCACCCAACTACGACCCGCTCTGTTCCCTCTGTACCTGCCAGGTAAGTAGGAGGTCCAGAAAGAGTGATGAGGAGGATAAGGAGGACCCAGAACAAGGCACTGGAACCTGGTCAACACCTCTGCTTCTCTCCACAGAGACGAACTGTGATCTGTGACCCTGTGGTGTGCCCACCCTCCAGCTGCCCACATCCGGTGCAGGCACCTGATCAGTGCTGCCCGGTGTGCCCTGGTGAGTTCCCTGCAGGGCTGTGGGGGATGGGCTCCCAGGGCACAAAGGGGGCGGGTCACATCCCGCCTCCCTTTCTTTGGCTCTATAGAGAAGCAAGACACCAGAGACCGGCCTGGGCTGCCAAGGAGCCGGGACCCGGGAGAGGGTGAGCTGCGCGGGTGCGTGGAAGGACGGGAGGATTCAAGGAGTCATGGGGTTGGACTAAGAGGGAAAGAGAATGTGTGTGTGTGGGGGAAGGGCAAAGGGCAAACGTGTGGGGTGACACCCAACAGGCTTATTAGTGTTCCCGACCCCCAGTGGCCTTTGGGTTAGGCTATTGTGCGGTTGGTCTGACACTCAAGCCCTGATTGTGGGCTCAGCTGTTGAGCACAGTACTGATGGCAGCCGGGCACCCTCCCTCACCAGGCTGCTATTTTGATGGTGACCGGAGCTGGCGGGCAGCGGGTACCCGGTGGCACCCTGTCGTGCCCCCCTTTGGCTTAATTAAGTGTGCTGTCTGCACCTGTAAGGTATGGCCACCCCATTGTTGCTGGTGCTGTAAGCCAGCAGAGTCTGCAGAGCTGGGGAGGGGCTGGCTGGGAAGCAGAGCTATCCATGCGGGGAGGGCCAGGGATGCAAACAGACTAGAGAAGGCTTGTAGGCTCCCCATAGCACAGTGGTGTGAATTTAGGCCCCCCACACTGCAGCAGGCTGTTTGTTACTATGCAGCAAAGTTCTAAAAGGTTTGCCATCACTGCTATAGGAGAAGAGAAAGGGCAGATCTGGGTGTAAATCCTTCCTTTCTCCCCTGACCAACTCCATGTGACCCTGGGTGCTTTCTGAACCTCCCTGTTACCCTCCTTTTCTCTCCTATAAGCAAATACACAGCACCTATCTTGTAGGATACAGTGAAGATTTGAGTTCAGGGACACAAAGTAAGGCCAGAACTCAGAGTACAATGCCAGGCATATATATCAGTGGAGCAGGGATAGGAGAGGGAGGAAGCAGGAGGCTCATGTGTCCTTTTCCTCCCTGGCATCCATCACACAATGGATCCCTGCAGGTGGGCACTGGAGAGGTGCACTGTGAGAAAGTGCAATGTCCCCGACTGGCCTGTGCCCAGCCTGTCCGCGCTAACCCCACTGACTGCTGCAAGCAGTGTCCAGGTGAGGAGTTTGGGCATCAAGACCTAACGCTCAGGGTTGGGACAGGTGTTAAGTGGGGTGAGGGAAAGTGCGTCTCAGCTACCTCAGGAGCCACTGAGCACTGCTGTGTGCCCATTCTGGAGCCAAAGTTCTAAGCACAGTGGAGAGAATGTGCCTGTACTAGTCGGATGTTATGGGCTTTAGTTTCTATTCCATCCATCCATCATCCATCCATCAATCAATCAATCCATCACCCATCTATTCTTCATCCATCCACCCACCCACCATCCATCGATCCATCGATCCATTGATCCGTCTCTCCATCACCCATCCATCCACCACTTATGCATTACCCATCCATCATCTATCCATCCATGCACCTATCATCCATCCATCCATCCATCCATCCATCCATCCATCCATCCATCCATCCAAATTTATGATCCACTGAGTGCCTGAAACTGCTAGATGGTGAGTGTTCAAAGAGAAATCAAAGCTGAGTGAGAAATCAAAGCCCTCTGGGTCTGACCCTTTCCTTTTTCCCTCCCAACCGGGGTTCAGGGTCCCATCCCCATCTGGGGGACTCCATGCAGGCTGATGGCCCCCGGGGCTGCCGTTTTGCGGGACAGTGGTTCCCAGAGAGCCAGAGCTGGCACCCGTCGGTACCCCCCTTTGGGGAGATGAGCTGCATCACATGCAGATGTGGGGTAAGTGGGGTCCTGCAAGTGGGGAGATCTTCCCTAAGAGGGCAGACTCCCGGAGGTGGGCTTCCTGGGAGGGGCTGATGTCCACTGTGCCCAGTGCCACTGGAGATCCTCAGAACCTGCTTTGTCCTACACCAGGCGGGGGTGCCCCACTGTGAGCGGGATGACTGCTCGCTGTCACTGTCCTGTGGCTCAGGGAAGGACAGTCGGTGCTGCTCTCACTGCACACCTCGGCGGCGTGAGTGAGGGAGACTAGGGGACAGTGGCTGTGGACTGGGCCCTGCTGGCTGTGGGACACCTGGGAGGGAGGGGAGCCCTGGGAGCCCCTGTGCTGCCAGGAGCTGTGTGGTCTAGTCTACCCACACAGGTTGTCACCCACCAAGGGTTTTCATGTATAATCATTTTTTTACAAACGAGCTTTCTGAAGCTCAGAGGAATGAAGCCACTAGTCCGAGGTCACACAGCTGATTTGCACTGACTTTCTTGGACAGTTGTTTCCTTTCTGGTCCTCTGCTGTGTCCCCTGTGCCTTTCTCCTTGCCACCCTGTGCCCTCTCCTCCTCCAACCTTTGCTCCCTTCTGTCTCCAGCAGCCTCCGAGACCAGGACTGTTCCAGAGTTGGAGAAAGAAGCTGAAGGCACCTAGGGAATAGCCGGAAGGGCACCTGACCCAGGGGACAGGGCTGAGCTGGGAGAAAGGGCGGTGCTGAGGACACTGCCTCCTTCTGTGCAGAAGCCCAGTGCCCTGAGGGCCTCGTTCTGCCTCTTCTCCTTCCCCCACTACCTCTGGGAACCACAGACCCACAAGGGAGAGAGGTGGCCATGCCAGGCCAAGGCCATATCCACTCTGGCTCTGTCCTGCCACCCTCTGGCCTCTGACCTGGAAGCCCCACTCTTCTCCTTCTGTACGTAATAATGTCACTGGCTTGTTGGGATTTTTAATTTATCCTCACTCAGCACCAAGGGCCCCCACTCCATTCCTGCTGCCCCTGAGCTGAGCAGAGTCCTAATTGGAGAGTGTGGTATTTATTAAAACATTGTTTTTCAGTCTTTGGGCTCCAGATGGGTTCCTTTTTGACCAGGACCGGAGCGGATCTCAGTGGAACAGGGTCTGAGGGTGGGGGGGGGGAGGGGAGATCTGTGCCAGGAGCAGGAGTCCGCACAGGGGCAAGGTGGCGCAGCCGTTGGCTGGATTCCCCAGAGGAGCTGGGACCACCCGGGACCTGGATTGGAGGCTCAAGAGCCCACATACCTGAAGCAGGACTCAGGTTCAAGCTGGCTTACGCAGCACTGGTGTTTTGTGTCTGGTTATTTGAAGTTGCTCCAAAGAGAAGAACAGAAGTGTCACTAGCTTTATTCTCTTTGTCCAAAGTGAAGCACGCACGGACTTTCTTACTGCTCTTCTTTCCTGGAAATAAACTGTGTTCTGGACCAACTCATGGGGAAAATCCAGATCGGAGCAGACTGGCATCAGCTCAGATCCAGTTCCTGATGGGGCTCCTTGTGAGATCCAGTGACGTGATGTACAGCCTAGGATCTGCACGCCGTCCGCATCTCCCCTTGACCCCTTCTTCCTGCCGGTTGTTCCCACAGGCAGTAGGAAGTAAGGTTAGCAGGAGGGAAGCTAACAGTGTGTGTAACCTGCAGATCTGTGTATTTGGAAACTGTACTGTGTAAAATGAGAGTGGGATTTTATGATCTAGTAGAGCAGAAGGATATGAAAATCATAGCTTTTTTATTTAGTGTGAGGCATGCTGTGTGCGGTTGATGATTCTCTTTGCCCATTGAAATATCAAGTTCCAGTTCTGCTGTTAACTAGCTGAATTATTTCACTTCTGTGAACCCTGTTTCCTCTCTGTAAAACAGATATCTCATAGGACACAGTCAGAACATTTACTTTACATAGTAGCTCCGTGCCTGCCGCACACTCATTGGCAAGGACACTAACTGTAGCTTCTGGAGCTGGTTTGGGAATTCCTGGAGCTGGCAGGGAGAACTGTGGGAGGAGGGGGCAGTGGGTTTCCATACCGCTTGCCAGGATGCTCATGGAAGAGCCGGGCTGGAGATGCAGGGCTGATAAGGCCGGGGTAATTGGACTTGGGCCAGGTGAGGATGGAAAAGCAGCAGGATTCGCCTGGGGTTGGAGATGGAACTGGTGCCACGTGAGGTGTGGTGTGACAGAGGATTGGTCCAGAAATGGGTGCAGTGACAGCACTGTCCTCCCAGGTGAGGGAGCAGGGAGCCAGGCACGGGTCAGCTTAGTGGGCTCTGTGAGGCAGGGGTTCACCCCAAGATCTGAACTGAGGGGTACCCCAGGGCTCCAGTGCAGCCCTCAGCTGGGCAAAGAAAGGAATATCAGACGATAGATCCAGGCAGAACAGTGTCCTCTTTGGACAGAGCTTTGAAGCACCCTAGCTGGTGTTCTAACCAAAGCTGGGCAGGCCCTGGGCCCTACCCAAGTCCCAGGGAGGCAGTGATGGAGTGACTCAAGAAGTCAGACTGTGTGCAGCACGCAGGATTTGGTGTCAGGTTCCCTGGATCTCTGGCTTGCAGACCTCAAGAGGGCTCCCCATCCTTCCCCTTCAGGCGCTGTCAAGAGCCATTTCCTTTTCCAAAGAAACCGAGCCAAACAAGAAACAAGAACAAAGCCCCCAACCCGTCTTCATGAGTAGAATTATTTCAGTGCCAACATTTAAAATTTGGCCTCAGTGTGTCAGGTGACACACGCCACCAATTTGGGGAGATGGCGTGGTGGGGCTGTTGGCAGCTGTCAGTTCATTTTTGTCCAAGTTACTAGAGCCGTTGTGGGGGTATCGGGATAATTTAAGGGAATGACTTAAGAAAAGAAACTCTCAGGCTGTGGCTAAGGACATGTAAAAGTGCCACCAAGCAGAAAGAGTGACGAGGGGCCCGGGGGCCCACTGTGCACAAGGAGCCCAGGACATCACCTCTGCTTTCATGGCAGCTACTCAACCGCTAGCAATGCCTGCATTCCGGAGCTGATCTGGCTGCTTAAAAAAAAAAGTTTTTGCAACTTTGGAGTTGTATTGCATTTCCCCCTGGGCCTTTTATGAAACTAATGAGAAATAGAAAAAACAAAAGTGACAGAAAGGAGCGTTCCTGGGGCAAGGAGGGATGTCTGGCAGATGGGATGACACACACTGCAGCTCGTCAGACTTCAGGTGGTCAGAGGCGGTGTGAAGGAGGCACAGTTGTACGCAGGATGCACATACAGAGGCTGGGTGAGGGGTTGGGGAGATGATAGCTCAGTAGAATAAGCGCTTGCCTGGCAAGCTCAAGGGCCTGAGTTCAATCCCTGGTTCCACCAAAAACAAAACAAAACAAAACAAAAAACCTACTACCTGTCTTTGGGGCTGGGGAGATGGCTCAGTAGAATAAGCACTTTCCTGGAAAGCGCAAGGGCCTGAATTTGATCCCTGGTTCCACCAAAAAAAACCCCCAAAAACCAAAAAGCAGAGGCTGGGTGAATGCTGACCTGTGCATTGGTGCCTGTTAGGGCTCGTGGAGTAATTACAGCGCTCTCAGGATGAGCTGTGTCTCGTACCCTTGTTTGGTTTTGATATTTTTGCTTTCACGTAAAAGTGGACTTCCAGAATTGGTTTTGCTCGTCACAGAAGGAAGTCATTGTGAGTAATTACAGCAATACACAAATACGTGAGGAAGAAAGAATGGTTCACCTGCTACCCCAGCAATGGTTCTCGAAGCAACCACTGAGGAGTTTTCTAGGTTTTAGTCACAACAAATTTTGGTTGCCTGCCTCCACCCCAGCCCCACTCTGGGTCTTGCCCCCGACGGTGTCTGGGTCCTCACCTGTGCAGGGGCTGTGACATCCCACTTGTGGGCATGTGTGCAGCAGTCTTTGGAGGTGGGGGAGGGAGAGCAGCCGGGCGCGTCCGAGGGAAGCCTGATCTTTGGAAATAGCTGAGAAGACACAAAAACAGAAGGCTGGAAAAAATCCCCAAACAGCTCAGAGAATCTGACAGATCGGCATTCAGTGACCTGATCTCAGGAAGTTGGCCATAGCCCACAGTGGGTCCCAGATCCTTGGCGCGGGGTGTTGGGCAGGCCAGGAGATGGCCCCATCTTCCCGTGGGCAGCAGAGAGCACCCAGCAGGGGCACCTGCAGCCAAGGCCCTGCTCTTCCTTGGGAGGGTTGTACATGGTGTTGTCTTGTCTGTTTGCTTTGGCTCCTGGCTTGTTGGCCCAGCCAGAGCCTCTCGCAATTCTCCAGGTTTCATCTTGTGTTTTGGAGCTGAGGTCCCTGCTCTGAATCCCTACTTTGGCGACAGGGATTGACTCTCTGCTGTATGGAGTGGACCAGACAAAGCATAAGGGAAGGCAGCAGGTGCCAGTAAAGTGTCTGATGAGCACAAGGCCTTCTCCGCTCAGGGTCAGAAAGGCTGCTGTCTGGAAGCCGGGAAGATGACCTGGCCAAGTATGTTTGCTCCCAGCTCGGCAGCTGGGGGCCCTCCGCGGTCTGACATGGCTGGCAAAGCAGCACATGAAGCTGGAGCAGGTGGCTGTGGCCAGGACTCTGCACACACGGCAAGGCCATGAAAAGCACAGTCTGACTTTGTTATTGGTATTCCTGGTGGCAGTGGGACTTTGCATATGGGGGCCCTGCTCCCCGCAAAGCTCCTGCCCTGAGGGAAAGTGAGGGCAGCCAGGGACATTCTCTTCCACATGAATATAAAAAAAGTAAAGTTCTTCTACATTGGCATACTGACAGCAGTACAGACATATTGTTTAGACTGGGAGGAGGGGCGTGTGTGTGTGTGTGTGTGTGTGTGTGTGTGTGTGTATGTGTATGCTAGAAAGCAGAAAGGCAGAGGCTGCAGGACACAGAGCCAGGGAGAAGCAGCTGAAGGGTACTTTTTACTATGTGCTATTTTATAAGCTGTCAATTTAATAACTTTTAAATGACTAATAAGGTACAAAATGATACCTAGGTTATGCAGTCTCCCTGCTCAGGCACCAAGATCCACTCCTTGAAGAGACCTACTGTTGCTGATTTCTTGCATACAAGAAAAAAGCTTTTTGAGGGCAGGGGAGATAGTTCAGTAGAATAAGTGCTTGCCTGGCAAGCGCAAAGTCCTGAAGAAAAAAGAAAAAAAGAAAGAAAAAAAAAAAAGCCTTTTGAGAACAGGGATGTTAAAGTCCAAGTCTAAATTACATGCATTGCTGTGATACGGACCAGAGCTTCTCAGACTTTCACAAGCACTTGGACCTTCCAGGGGCTTGTGAGCTGCAGCTGCTGATTCAGAAGGTCTGGGTGGGGCTTGAGCTCCTGCATTTTCTGAAGCCATCTCAGGAGCCCTTGCTGCTGCTGGTTCAGGGACACATCCAGAGCGGCCGGGGTGCAGCCAGCCCCTCCCCCAACGGTTTTGTACAACATGCTGAGTCATCAAAGTTTCTGGTAAGTTAATTGAGCATCTTTCTCCAGATACTGTCCTAAGTTCTGGGTAGCCAGCAGCGAATGAAACTTTCAAGAGGCCCTACCGGTGTGGAATTTATAAACTTGAGGGAGAAGATTGTCAATAATGTGCCAGTCAGCTTTCTGTTATATTAACAAAATGCCTGAGATTATCAACTTCAAAGGCAGAAAGGTTGGCTTACGGTTTCAGTGGGTTTCATACATGGTTATGGGCTTTATTGCTTTGGGCCTGCAGTGGCGGAGGACATCTTGGGGCAGCATGTGGGGGCAGAGGCCTGTTCACCTCTCTGTTGCTTTGGAGCAAAGACAGACACAGGGACTGGAGTCTCAGCAACCTAACGTTCTCCCACTAGGCCTCACCTCCTAAAGGGACCAGTGCCTCTCAGTGGCAACATACCCAGGGACAACAAACTGCAACAACATATATAATAAATAGATTAATTACAATCCAGTGATAAATATAGTACATTAGTCAAAGAGAAGGAGGATGGTGCTGTGGAAAACAGAGCAAGAGATGGGGAACTGGATGCTCCGGGGGAAGAACAGATGTGATTTGAAGAAGGAGGGTCTGAAAAAATGTTCCAGTTAGGTGTCATTTTG